TTCCGATCATAATTTTTAATTCCAAAAAATAATATTTCCTTTCTTATTTTTCACTCTAATAATAGAATTCGCGTGATGCTTACCGAGTATGATCAAAAGGCAAACTAGAATAGCTGCTAAAGCTCCCATGCTGAGTTTCAGTGTACGCCCTTCTTGTACGAGTTCGCAGTTTTCTCCCCAGAAACCACTAGGACAAACGCATTTATATCGGAAACGAGGATCTTGGTTGATACATCTGCCACCGTTCAAGCAAGGATAATCTATGCATTCGTTTTTGTCCATGCATCCTTGGTTATCAGGCGAGCGAATCCTTCCTTCTCCGCATCTGAAGGTAGTAATAAGATGAAATTTATCGGATTACACGTATAATAAAAGATTGAACGAAATTCAATTTCTGGAATACTTACGTGCATTCGAAATCGTTCCAAAGGTCGATACATTCGAACGGCTCTTTGCAAATCACGTTGGCACAAGCTTTGTTCGAGGGACAGTTTCGTTCCAAATTTCTGGCCATAGTTGCTTGACCCCATTGCGTTCCATTCATGGCAGGTGGTAATGGAAGGTGCTTACCTTCCAGTCGTATGTCGTCGAGACATCCTGTTCAATGTTTCATTTCATAATTATTTTATTTTAATTATTTATTTATGTTGTCCACTTTTCTTTTCTTTTTAATCAATTTGAGCCATAACAAACGTACCTTTCTGATAATCAGCATACACTTCGAATGTTCTGACTCCAGTATATTCAGCCTTGCCACCTGCGAAGACTCCTTCCTGCTTGTCAACGAGTAACCATTGATGTCCTTTGAAGGAGAAGGTTTCATTGAATCTTCTACCTTCGCCACCGTCTAATTCCAAAGTAGCAGCTGATCCATATCTCGACACTCGAACTGTATGCCACTGTCCGTCATCGATTGCAATCGCAGTCAGCCATATGTCCCGTTCTTCAGTTCTCATGCTGTTTAAATTGTAACGGAAGTGCAGTCTGCTATCTTTGATCTAGAGATTAAAAGTCGCGTGGTTTACTAATTGACCTTCTCAAACTTTCATGTTGTTGTTTCTGAATCATCATCATACAATTATTTATCACAATATACATAGTTTATACCGTATAACTGAATACTTACCTCCAAAATGGCATATTCCCTGTTGTGTTGATCGCTAACTCTGAACAGTTCTCCACGGACTTCTCGAGTGCGGAATCTCAGCTGTATTTGCGTAGAATATTTATCAGGTTCGAAGGACAAGGCGTATTTTACGTAACTCTGTGGTTTAAACGTGGTCGGTATAGTGGGTGTCATGCATCCTGGACCAGTCCATCCGGGATTACATTGACATCTAGCCTCGGTGAAGCTTCCAACGCAAGTACCATGTTCCCAACAACGGAAGGTGGATTCCTGGTTATTGCAGATCTCCTCGGTTTGAGGACAACCAGCCACGCTGTTTCTGGATAGTCCAGGATGTGCCAGATCGTACAGCTTGCTGTTGTGGAAGAGGTTCTTGATGCAACCGTCAAAGCCTTTGCCAAACGGCATGTGCTTCCATTTGTAATGAGTTGGATCGAATTGCTCGACGTATAATCCACCGATTTGAAGGGGTGCGTTCACGTTCAGATACTCGTTGAAGGGTGGTATCGTGCCTTGGGCTTGGCAACTGGTGTCGTTGAACTCTGGGTGCGTGCCGTCTTCTGCCTCTGAGATGTCCGCGGATTTGCAGAAGTCGATGATCAGTTTCACGGTCTGTAAAATGTCACAGAGTCACGTAAAATTAGTTTTGGGTACGACAATATTGCTTTCATATAAATATGGTGAAAATTAAGATAATTGGTCGTAGGTATGATGCTTGGTCAAGCATACTTTTCGAATTGTGAGTTTCAATTGAAATATTTGTGCAATGAAAATTGAAATGAGTTTTTATAGTAAGAGTAGGTAGGAATTAGGATTGTCTTATAAATTTGATCAGCAGCAGAATTCTCAGAACGTGAAAGACAATGTTATTTTTATTTTGTTATTCTACGTGTGCCTTAATTATTATCGTCTAGTACATTGTTGCTTTAATATCGTTTGAATGTAGTTAAAAGATAACACTGACCTCAGTGTTCCAGAAAATGTCGAGTCTGTGCCATTCTCCGTCATCAAGAGTCCTCTTCGGTTTCACTTTCAGCTCCAAGGTACCGGAACCAAAGTCTATCAGCAATCGAGGTATTCCACGTTCCAATTCAACGGATATGAAGTCTGTGAATAAACGCGTTATATAACACATCATGTAATGATATCTTTATTCGTCAAGTCTATCATTTTATCAAAGTCATTGCAGCACAATATCTAACAAAATGACGTATTTAAAATTTATAGGAGTAGATCGAAGAAACTAGATTTCTTACTGGTCTACAAATTTTTTTTCGAATTATTATAGACTTCAAGTCGTTATAAACTTTTCTAATTCTGTACCGTGCATGCATCACGTGTTACAATTTTAAAAAATTCTAGTTTATTCATTAAATAGGTAGCAAAATATTAAATTTATTTATTGAATAGAAAAGGGTCAATAAAAACGAATTTCATATCTTCAAAAATTATGCAATTAAACCGAATATCAATGAGAAGCATCGGTGTTCAAAACTCTTGAAAATGAAATCACGTAACACAGGATACTTCCTTACCAGAAACCATAATTTCGTCAACCTCGGGCGGAACAATAGGACCGTTGTACAATAATAAACCGTCAGGCTTCTTGGTGATGAATTCGAAGCTCAAGTGACTGTTATCGCACATTTCCAAAGCAGGATACCAAGCCCAACCATTTCCACGGAAACTTCTCGCAGTCTGCTGACATCTAGGACCATTGTATCCAGCTGGACACTGGCACCTACGGAATAAAAATCGTATTAAGTAACATATGTTAATATGGTAGCAGGTTTCACAAATCTGTACTTACGATAATCCATATCGACCTTCCACGCAACGACCACCGTTATAACATGGGCTATTTCTGCAAGATTCACCTTTACTGAAGTTTCGAGCACCGCATGTACATTCGGCGATTACATCCACCCGTACGCCAACCAGTGCGGTCTTATTTGCGTTCACCATATAGGGTAAGTTGCTAATATCCAAGGTATTCGTGCAACTACCCTCGCACACTTCGTTCTCGTAATAACACTCGTCGATGCCTACCATAGTTATGTTGATACCGACCTCCTTCTCGATCTAGCGGAATTAAATTATTCATTCACGAAATTAAATCTATATTTTTAAATAAAATTTCAGTGTTCAATAAATGGTACATAGATTATATTTTATACTTCATTTCTATTTGTGATTCAATTTTATTTTTATAATATACGATAATATCATGATTTTTCTTTTATTTTCTGTTATGAAAAGAGATTATTTTAAAAATTTCCTTGTTATTATATATTTAATAACTTCAATCTTCTCCCAGATCATGAAATGTACTTGGTTTAAATTATTTTTGTTAACTTACACCACACATGTGTACATTTTTCTTTTGATTTTTCTCCTCAGTCTTAATTAACCGTTTTACTCTCTTTGCATGTGCGGATAAAAACCTTTATTATATTATATAGTAAAATCTCTCCCCATAACAATAAGGATTTTATTACAAAATTTTCTTCGTAGGAAAAATTAGGAGGTAAAAAGTATTTAGGAAGTTATGTCTTAGCGAAAATATTGTGAAATCGCGGAAGAATTATATCAAAAGAAATTGAAAATAAATTTGAGGAAAACTGCAATATAAAATTATACATAATAAGGGATGTAATTTCAAGTATTCCTCGATATTTCTTTCAAAAAATGTCTACGTACCAAGTCTAAAATTATTTAAATTATGCACTTCGATTTACCTCTTCACGATGCATTAGCACGATTCCATTCAATCTCACAGGCTTATAATACGGTGATCCATGAGCAGCGAATCTGATGTCCGTCAACGGTGGGTGCATTCTACGTAATTGAACGCTAAACACGTCTACATTATCTCTATCGATGTTCAACAAATGCGCCAGTTTATCTCTAAATAATTCTGCCTTGCTGCGCGATATAGTTTGTGACTGAAAAAAAAGAAAATAAAATAAAACATAAATATTCGTTTCGTGTAAATCAGAAGGAATTAATACTTAACCCTTCGAGAACGACTGTGCATTGTACGAGCATGTTTCAGAATTTATTGTCAACTTACCTTTGTGCTCATAGTATGGTTCACGTGGTCTTAATAAAAAGTAGCTTATTGATTACAATATACAAAAATACAAATATTAACATTTCTTTATAATTAAGTATCAAGAAATTGTGAGGATCTGTTGGCCAATCACGCGATAACAGTCGGCTTTAGACGTTCATGGGATAATCTCGAATTCATTTTAATTTATCCAAGGAACTTATAGTACAAAGAATACCATTGATCACGTGAAACGAAATTAACAAGCACACACCGTCCTCAACGAGTCAAAAAATATGAAAAATATTAACAAACATCTAGTCGTCAGATCACCTTGTAATCCCATACACGAATGAAGTCTTCATCCGTTATACCGGATACTCGAACTGATCCAGAATTCAATACAGCTTCGTGAGGAATAGTTTTCACTGTGACCGTCACGTTCGCTGGGACGTCCGTTTGAGTATGCTTCCGATCGTAGACTTTGAAACGTAAGTGGTATCTACCATCCGGAGTGCCTGACTTCATGTAAATCATACCCGTGTCATCGTCTAGCTTAAACTGAGCGTGCTCTAAACTTTCCCAGTAGAACTTCTTGTCTGGTAAGTCCCAATCGTCCAAATCGAAGACGTAAACTCTACCTATCTCTGTGTCTGGTGATTGTCCCTGTGAGATAGTTTCCGTCGAATCAAATTATCAGAATTTTAAATATATATCGATATTTTACTTGATTTTTTATCGTTGGCTTAAACTTCAGCTGAGTTTTCGAGGAAAACGTTTGTAGTCTATTGTACAGTTTGGTATGTTTTGGATAATAAATTAAGGATCGAGTCGAGTAATTGTGTATTAAATTGTCTTTTAAGGTCGGTTCTACAGCAGAACGTCGATTATCCGAATTTTAATTACACGAGGGAGTTACGTACTTAAATTTAAAAAATTTGTATCCAGCGATGATGATGATATAGTTTCATCAATGCTTTGCACAAATGACGTTATGCCGGTATATACTAATTGATATACTATTTCAACCAATACCGAAACTCAGAATGCATTGGGTATTGCATCTCAATAAGCAGAAAATAAAAAAAAAAAAGGATAAAGAAGTAAATTCACACAAATGTTTATGATAGAAGCAATCCATAACTTGGAATTATCTAAAATCGTGATATTTCATTATTTACCCTGCATCTTACTACACGTCTTACTGAATACGAAATTAATTTAACTTCTAGTTAATTTACGACATTTCATTTCTTGATCAACTTGATGACATTTAATTCAATTGACAATTTTTAATTTCCAGTTGATTTATTATACAATCTGAAATTTCTTTTCTTTCAGACCGATTATCTGCATGATTAATTGTAATGATCGAGATTCTGCTATAAAATTGTCCAATATAAAATTCAGTGAGAAAAATATAATACGTACTGCATAATTATATACAAAAATGTCTTTCGATCCAGGCTGCATTTTGTTATCGTTAATGTCCCCGATAATAACTGTTAAAGTACTGGTCCCAGACATCGGCTGTGCGCCGGTGTCTTTGATAACGATCGGTATCAAGTACTCCTTTTGCTGCTCTCTATTAAATGATAGTAACGACGACACAATGGCCATGCCATCCCCGTTCGCTCCCTCTGCGCGCAGACGAAAAAGATACGAGCGTTTGTTAGCGACAACTATCGAACTATGGCTAACAACGTAGTATCCCCCACGGGAATGTAATAGGATTGCGTCCAGACTCACTGTTATCGCTCTCAACTTTGAAACTAGCACGAATCACATCGTCTGCCTTCGGGTCCATTCTGAACGTGAACGGTGGTCCATTACTCTTCGATCGATCGTCGTCATCAGTCGCCGAGATTTCTACAACTTTCTTCTGTTGAGAGTGTTCTTGCAACACTGGCCTGTAGTCCTTCAGGAATCGCGGCGCATTGTCATTTATGTCCTGCACGATTACAGTCAACGTGGCCGTTGCGGTTTTCGGCGGGATTCCATCGTCGATGGCCAAGATTTTCACCTGGAGAAGACGAGTTTGGAATAAATAGAAATGAGGTTAGGTTTGAATTAGGTAGCTGGCCCTTAGAGATAGTTATTAGGATTTTATTTTTTCATTTATTTGATGTTCGAAAAGTGGAAAGTTAGGGTTTATTCTCTTGGATATATTTGGATTCTTGGCTTGTGGGAGCTGAATATATGATAACTGAGATTAACCTGGATAATTGCTTCCTGAATTACGAAATTATCAGTATAACTTTAGATTACAAAAATGGTACTATTTTATGGTTTACCTGATGCCTCGGTGTTTCTTCACGGTCGAGACTCCTTTGGATCGATACCGTGCCATTTTCGTTGATCGAAAATTGCCTCTTGCGATCGGAACTCCTATCGATCGAATAAAATACCTTGCTCTTGTTACCCTGATCGGGATCAGTGGCTGTGAATGTTTCGAGGGTGTTTCCAATACGAGCATTCTCCGGTATCGTGGTCTCGATATTCGCCTTCTGGAACTGGGGTTGATTATCATTTATGTCACGCAATCTCACCACTACCCACGAATATGCCACGTGATATTTGTCGTTGTCGTTGTCTTCTCCCTGCAAGATAAAAGGAATATCATCGTTTGATATTTCGGGATAAAGATGTAACTGTCGGAAATATTTTTATTACAAATATTTTTATACCAATTCCATTACATAAATCGAATACCTTATCGTTGACTTGTATCTTAAATCTGAAACCATTGCTCTGCAATTGGTCCTCGTAATCTAACGATTGCACGATCTTCAGGGAACCCGTACCGTCGTTGTTCCTCACCATGGTGAACTTGTCGGCACCATAACCACTGCTTTCGATCACCTGTGGTTGAAATATAATACCAAAGTAATAATCAATACGATTAAAATTATTTCAGCTCGATTATTTATCTTGAATTATTTTTATCAAGATTTTTTTATTTTTTGAGAATTTTGTTTTAAAATTCCTTTTTTTTAAAGAAGAGAGCTGAGAGAAGCGTGGAAAGAAACGATTTTAATGGAATAATGACAAATGTATACCTTATACTGGAATTTATTAGTTTCATCCTCATCGTGAACTGTGACTGTAAGAATTGGCATTTCCGGTAGATCTGGACCTTCCGTTTCGTCCACCTCGGTGGTCCATTCGTCTTTTGTAAATAGGGGAGGCATATCGTTTATGTCTTTCACTCGTATAGATGCCGTCCCCGTCCCTGTATATCGAGAAAATTTCGTAGAGAATTTGATAGATGTAAATTAAAGCGTTAAATGAATAATTATGCTCTTTGTCGTTTACACCGATAATTTGATACATTATTGACTTCAGCACCTTATTTTTGAATATGTTTTCAACAGAATTTTAATTTGAGAAAAGAAGGTATTTAATATAAATAAGCATCAAATTAAATATAATACATAAATAAAACCAAAAAATATATATTTCTTTAATTTTGCATAAATTCAATAGAAGAGAATATTTAAGTTAAAATATCTGTACCAAGAAGTTAAAATTTGTATGATTAAAAAACTTAAATTATTGTAACACTTCCTTAGCCTTAACTTAATTTAGTAACAAGGAATACTGAATTCTAAGAATTAACGTTTGTAGTAAAAAATTTTCAAATCTCCTTAAAATAATTACAAAATCCAAGATTTCATAATGAAATATAAATAATTACTATAATATCCAAGATATTATTCTAAAATGTAAATTAAAAAATAAAAAGAACATTGCACATTCTATATCTCTTTTCGATTCTATATCTCATTTTGCTTCTTAACTTACCCTTTAACCCCCCGCCATCCATCGCTACCACCTGTATAGAATAATCTGGAGTGCGTTCTCTGTCCAAGCAGCATACTGCTGTCTTTATCACACCAGTTTCCGATTCAATCTCAAAAATTGGTGAACCAGTTTCCTCCTCGATAACGTTTTTCTCGATCGAGTAAATCAATTTAGCATTTGTACCTTCGCTTGGATCATCATAGTCGACTGCAGTCATTGTCATTACGACCATTCCTGTAAATAACATAGCAACAGAGCGATATTACATAAACACCTTCATGAAATCAACATTTGTCACAGGAACAGAGTAAAATAAAAATTAATATTTATCCTACATTAATGTATTCTATCTTACAGACATAACTGAGACGTTTAAAAAGTGTTCCATAGGCAAAATTCTTTAATTTAAATTAACAATTCAAATTCTTTAAATTCAAATTTTAAGAGAAAAACCTACATATTCACAAAGTAGCAACATATGTATTATTTTATCCCTAGATAAATACTAGGTAAGCATCTCGTTCTTAAAAAAATGTATCTACTGCTATTTGTTACAAGTAGTTTTACATATGCAATTAATACTAGCAACTTTTACACAAACCTCGATGAAAGCATTCATTTGAAAACATTAAAAATTTGTTTCGTCTGTAGTCATATCTCTGGCAATCAAGGAAAATAACTATCACGCGTGACGATCTGTGACGATGGTTTCACGATGATTCCACGTTACCTGCAGTTCCATTTTCCGTGACGTTTCCGAAATAAATTCCTTGCGGGAAAGTCGGTGCATTGTCGTTGATGTCCTTCAGGTTTACCTGCACGTCAGCATATCCGACCAAACCTTCTCCACTTTCATCTTGGGCAAACACAGTGAACCGCCATTGCGGCCTTCCATTTGGCTGATCCCTGTCCAGTGGCTGTGGAGAACACCCGGATTACGTCCTTAGATGACTTTGGATGCGAGGCAAATTTAATAAAGGAAAAGAACCATTCTGTTTATCTCTTGAAAGGGCGAAAAGTACCTTCCAGTTGAGTTACGAACCAAATGAAACTTATCTAACACTGAAGCCTTCAACTATCCAAAATAACAGAGTATCTATGACAGTTACCGAAGAAATACGGCTTTTCGCAAATTTAATGCTGTCTTGTACAAAAATAGAAACGAAATTACGTGATCGAAAGATTTATTAATATTTAAAATATTTTAGATATTTAATATACATTACAAGTATCAAATAAATATTTAAAATATTTTTAACGTTGCTATCAATATTGATATTGAAAATAAATTTTATTCTACGTACTGTTATATTTACTAAATTGGTGAACTTCGTGAAATGAAAAGTAGATATTTATTTTAAATATAAGAAATTAAGAATCAATCGAATGCGTGAAATAAAATTGAACAAAAATTCCAGAAGTGGAGATATACTAAATATAGACGTGTATTAGAAATTGAAAGTTCCAATGTTAATATCTCATCCAGTCTTTTCATATCGTGCTAAACTAAGATAAATGCTGCACTAGTTTCGTTTAATTAATACTCTTCCGTCGGTCGATCCGCAGAATTAAATAAATCTTGGATAAAAATACCTCTAAAGAGTCTTTGGAGGTAAAAGCAGGAGAAAGAACTTTTAATAGAGTTACAAGTTTACGCGGATGTAGAAATGTTTAATTAAGAAATTCTCGGAAGAATCTGCGGCGAGCAGTCTTCCGTTTTAATAATGTATCAGCGCTGAAAAATTAAAATCGTCAGTGGGAAGGAAAATTAATTGCTAGAGACAGAGAGAATTCGTTTCTGGAAATGGAATTCGTCGTTAGAAGTTCGATTCCACTCGATTTTTATGCAAGGTTACGTTTATGATATTTAACAAATTAGACCAACCTTTAAAACGTAAATTTCTCCACTCGTCCGGTTGATGTCGAATTTGCTGTTTTGTGGATTATCAGGATCGATACCCTGACCAGTTAAGAAGTAGACAATACTCTGTGGTCTATCCCGGTCGCCATCAGTCGCGTTCACCTGTGTAAAAATTATAATATAGAGAATTAATACGTTATCACAGTAGTTGAATATTAATTCTTAACTGCTGATGATGGGGTCTGAATTCTGTTATATTTTTAAGTACATCTGAATTACATCAAATTATTAGTAACTATTTTAAATATTCTATGTCGAACTTTTGCGAATTTGCTAATTACTCGTGTAGATAATATTTTTCTTTTTAATTTTGCTATACACGCGAGACAAGCCTTTTTGCAATTAGTGGCTTATTTTTAGAAATCATATCGAAATATCCGTGGAGAAATAGAGCAATAACAGCGATAATAGCAAACGTGCTAAGATTTAAAAATAAATGTAATTCTTTAGAATTCTATCGCGATAATCTTTAATATTTTCTTTGAAGATTCAGTTCTTACTTTAACGCAATAAAGAAAACGGATTCTCGTATATATTAAAAGTTGCGATATATAATTTATGACTTCTATAATATTAAATTTCGTACGTGTAATAAGAAATGAAAATTTTTTAAAGGTTCAGTTATATAGTTTTTAATCGAGCTACTTCAGAACTGCACTAGAGAGTCGATATATTTGCATATCACCGTGACAGTCTAGGATTAAAATCACAACTTCGCTGAAGCTTGAATCCCTCTTTGTTTCTCGTAAATTCAGTTGGTCTGGCAGATATCTTGGTATTTTATATCCTTTGATCGTCATCCACAAATTTTATATTCACATATATCATATTCTATGCACTATGCTGAATATTTTATATTCCATATTATGTATTCTATATCGTACAATCCATACTTTATGATCCATATTCCTTGTTTGATATCCCGGGTTTTACGTTCTGAATTCTTTATTATTCCACGCGTATAACGTGCGCCAGTATCCAAATACTATAATTTCCCTTTGTTCCGAAAATTCTGAAAAGAAAAAACTCGGGCAAGAGAAAAAATGTGGCAATACCCCCGACGTAATTGGATAAACCAGGAGTCGAACCCGTGTCCGACAATCTAATTAACCAATTCCCTTTTTCCACTTACAATTTTCGGGAATGTGATCATGCTCCCGACGTTATCCTATTTTCTTACGTGATTCCCGACGATCACGGCTTTAGCGAGCTATAGATAAAAGCCAATTGAAATGTACAGAGAACGAAAAGGTGGATTTATTGGCCAGCTAGACATTTTAATTAAGTTGGTCGTTCGAAAAGTAACAAGTCTCCGTAAATTCTTGTTAAATCGCTATTCTACATTTCCTCTATTTTATCGTAAAATGAATGTACGTAGTATTACACGAGAAAAAGAGAAAAATTATTTTGCATAGACGAAGCTGATAACGAATGGTACAGGGAAAAAATTATGTTAAATATCGACTCAAACTATTTTTCAGAAAACTTACAAAGCCGATATATATTTCGATTCGAAATAGCGTTTAGAAAATTCACATAGCTGATACCTGTGTCAGATCAAAGTATTTTTAGCTGAAAATATTTTCAGAAAACCTACAGAGCATGCATATAGAGTCTAAGATCCTAAAATGGTTAAGAGGTTAAAGTGCATTGACTTGCTGAACAAAAGCGATAATTACCCCGAGGATGCGTTTCGGCAGCGTCCTGTCATCCTCTTCCGTGATCTGTGTCTGGTAATTCGACCGCTCAAAGACCGGCGGATTATCGTTCACATCCTTCACGTGTATTACAACGGTCGTGTAATTTTCTTTCAGGTTATCAGACGCGGTGAGACGGAGCTCGTACTGCAAGATTAAAGCGGAACAAGTGGATAACAGCGTTTGCAGCTGACCCGAGTTACTGCACCGACAGCGGTCTGTTTCTGGGGATAATGGAAGCTGTTCTTGGAGGTCAACGGTTTATGAGTCGAAAAAGGAAAAAGAGAAAATAAGGGGGTTCGTTCTGGAAGATAAACGGAGCCTTGGAGAAATTTTGGACCAATCAGATGAAGAACGTGTTTCGCCATCTGGAAATTCGGCCGTTGATAAGTCACGTAAAAGAAATTGATAAATATCGGAGTAGAATGAATTCTGAAAAAAAGGATTACGTAGATAAGGTACCGGGCAATATTGCGTACTTAACGGTCCAAAGAAATTTCGGAGAAACAAGATCGCTTTTTTAAATGAAGGTTGTAAAATACAACGGAGTTTGAGGGTACTTTTTGTGGCCATACGTAGAATGGACAAACGACGTTAAATAACTTTTCCTTTTAATGAAACAGGGCAGAAAAGTGAGTAATTAATTTGGATCGTTATTATGGGGAACGTGATAAGCGTTGTTCTTTTTTCGATATTAATTATTACGATTAATAATTTTATGTGTAAATTCAATGGAAATGAGAACCATCTTCTATTGGAATAAAATACAATTTTCATTTAAATTATTAATTCAATCAAATTAAAAATTAAATTACGTTAATTTCGAATTAGCACTATAAACGTGAAAAACAATTTTCTTTACTTTAACATTATTTGAACTAAAGAATTATAGTGAGAGACTAAAAAATTCGAGATTCCTTTTACAATTTTTAGATTCTACAAAATACACGGTGACTCTAAACATTTGATCGATTGTAAATATCCCTTATTATAATAATCGAGATTCTCTGAATAGTACCGAAGGAAAAGGGCAAGAAAACGGGAGAAGGTAAATATGTTTAAAACGGAATGCAGAGCGATCAGATTTCTCAATGAAATTTGGAAAAATGGCGTTCGAGCGATAGGTTGGGGCGCATAAAACGAGAAACTTATTAAAGCAATGACAAACGAGTGGACAGGAAACGTGCAATAAACGCCCAAGTTTTCGCACTATTTCACGGTTTTATTGGGCCGCGAGTAATAAAACGCGGAGTTGGAAACGCGGTTAAAAGGATTAACCGTGGACATATCGGCGGACCCCGTTCTTCCGGATCCTGTTTCACCCATTTCTCCATTTTTCTCCATTTCTTCCCCCGAAAATGTCCCCTGTCTCCGTCGTTTTTTCCTTCGCCGCTGTCAGTGTTTTCCATGATACCATGATGCACTAACCCTCTTTCTCGTCTCGTAATCTAATGGACCCGCGACGTAGATGGCACCAGTCATATTCTTCACGGCGAATGCGCCGCCTATGTTACCGCTCGTAATCTCATATCGAATACGCGAGGCTGTAAAATGCAGAGAAAGATCCTTTCAAATAGGATGCCAGGCGAAATTGCGACGGCTCTTTTACCACCGTCAGCCTGCGTCGCTCCAGGGATGACAGATGCACACGTCAGAGGGAAACGTCTTCAACTTTTAGCGATCACTGAACGAGCAGTCGCTTCACGGAGGAATGCAAATGCGCGGATATTTAGCATCGAAAGTACCGAGTTGGCTAAACAACAGCAGTGCGAATTTCGAGATGTATCATCGAGTTGCTGGAGAGGTGAGAGTTGCAGTTGGAATAAGGTAGGATGTCGAGTCGAGAAAGCTGGATTGCGAACCTCGAGATGGGTTATGACAGTTCGGCTGGGACTTATGGCTTTGGATTCATTTCGCACGAAGTTTCGGGGATTTAGAGGTGGATAGCGAATCCATGGTAGGTACAAAAATTTTGTTCGCGTGCGAATGGTTTATAGGTAATGCAAATTTTTATGCTCAATTCGATTATTTTTTTTTTTTTTTTCGTTTGCTATATGTAAAGGTAAAATTTTATTTTTGCGAATGAAAGTCGAAAGTGACGAAATGTGAGCCAGACATAAAGGATTTGATAATGAAATATAAAGGGAAGTATCTTATTAAGAAATAATTGCAATGAAGTTTTATTTAATCGAGTTCACGATAAGTTCGGTTGAATTTTATGAAATTACTTTAATTTTTAAACTTATCCATGGTGAGTTTATTTTAGTGGAATGTTACAGGCGTAGATGTTTGAGTTGGGGACATTGTGAAACATAGGTAAGAGTTTTATATGTATTTTATGAAACTTTTATGGTTATTTTAAAGTAGCAACTTGGTACTTTGCTATTTTCGTAATCGATGGATCGAGACATTCATTTGTAAAATAGAGGTGCTGGAGAATTCTTGTGAAGGAGATTTTATATCTTATGATTTTTCTACCGATTTGGTAATTTCATCAAACCAGTAACAATGTTCACACACTTTTATGTGACGTTAACAAACAGTTAAAAGCAGTTAGCCTGCGTGCAAATTGTTTACAGTCTTCATCGTTACGATAATTAACAATTATACGACTCGCACTTCTTTGCACGCAAATGAGTACTGTGTGTCAATTGATTCTTTCAATCGTGGAACTTCCAATACTGTGCCATCCTATAATTAATTTCTAGAATAAATAAATAAAAATAGAAATAAATCTTAACAACTTTCTCGAGAATTCTACAGATAAAATAAAGAGAGGGAGAAGAGTATAAGAAAAATACTAATATTCGATACGATTATCGTTTGAACTGTCTCTGAAAGACTGACTTTTGGTTCTAAGCTCTGGGATTTATTAAACTAGCGGTCTCTTTAAATTGTTATTTGGTAAATTTCCTCGGGTAAAACATTCGATCGCAAATAGTAGTTGAATTAGTTTCCCTCTGACTTTTTCCTGCATTCGTGAGACAAAGAAAAGAAAAAGTCGAAGATGTCGCATAGATGAGCAGGCAAGTTAGACTGTATCCTTAAATGAGTTTTATTAGAACTTGTGAAATCCGTACTTCTAAGTTGTTAATTGAGGTCCGATGGATAAGTATGTTTCGTGACTTCGCTCGAGCCATCTGGTATTTAAAGTTTCCTAAGCAGTTTATGTGCTTTCGAGTCGCGAAGTGGCAGATGGATTTTCGCGAAACTTGTTAGCCAGGTTAAGGATACAGAACTTCGAACCCGAGTATAAAATCATTATCAGGAATAGAGGCTAAACATACGATGGCAACTTCGGCTGCTCCTCTAACTACGAGAATTGCTGCTCTTGACAATTATTTCTTCGGAAAGAATTTGACAATTCTTCGATAATTGTGATAAGAATGACATCGCGATTTTTAGTTTAATATGAACTCGATTTAGAGATAAAATTTGCAATTTATTAGGTACTATCGATTAAATTTACCCGTTTGATTAATATATAAAATTAGTATAAATGAAATTTAATTACTAAATATTTTTAATATTACTGAGATTTACTGTATTAATTAATATTTGATATAGATTTTCTACTAAATATTAGTAAATATATTTGATATCAATTTTATTTATAATGTTCCTTTTAGAATATGCAGTTATATTAAATATTTGGAATATTTTTCACGATATTTTGTAGTTTATATGCAGAAAAAATATTCCGCCTTTTAAAATGGAAGCTGTTATTGAGATTTCGATTCGAGAAGTTTTAAAAACGTATTGTAAATATATGTTGTTGAAAAAAATAGACGTGAAGCGAATATTTGTATGCTGTATAAGTAAAAATATATACGAATCGTTTGAAAACATGGTTTTCCACAAATGAGATATACCCCTATAGAAAATCGTATGTTAATTTACCACGCTTAAGTGTCCATTAAAACTGACAATGCTATTTATTTCTTTTTTCATAACATCTTCCATAAACAGAGCCGAAAGAAATATTGTTTGAATTGACACAGTGAAAACATATTTTTGAACAAATAAAAATACCGATGTTTGTTTGCCACTAGAAAAACAGACCGATATTACTCGAATTTTATCCGCATACCATTTTTTCTGTATATACAAATAATCTTCCAAAAGCTTCAGTTAAAACCTTCACATCCTAAAATATCTTTTACAACTCCCAACGGGAAATTTCCTCGAACTCATATAAAAAGAAACTATTTTTATATTGTTGTATTATGAAATTAATTGAAATTAATTAAAATTAATTTTTACTGCAACATATATAATCATAATTTATAGATCACATAATAAACCATCCACAATGTTTAATATGTCTAAAAATAGTAAAACTTCATGCAAACTGTAGTTCTTTCAGGCAAAATTTGGAAAAGGTGGGCTCGAAGAACTACCTTTTAGAGTGACTGGGAAACTTAAGATGCTTAGGATTAAAATGTGTTTAACGTCAGTTCTTTAATTCATCATATTTCCAGCAGGACAAAAAAAAAAAGAAATAATTCAATACGTGTAAAATGACTAGATTTTCAATTACTCAGACCAGATCTTCATCAAAGAATCTCTATTCCTGGTAAGTCCTGATATTTTCAACAAAAGAAATATGTCTAATCGATCATCTCAATATTCACATTTCACACATTTCAAAATTAAAAAGAAATTGGCGAGAATCATTTTCGACATGAACCCTCCAATTCATTTCCAATCTTCAATTCAAAAAAAAGAAAAACATCAATTAATAGAAATAAAATAATTAGATCTTCGATGATCTTCACGAAAAGATCTCTATTCCTGATAAATCGCCTGATAAATTTATTCAAAGAAAACAAATTAACGGTAACAGTTTCGTTTCATCGATCCCAATGACACGTTCAGACATCCACAAGCTTCATGCAAATTCATCAAACCCAAAAATCCATCGCGTGTCTTCACGCGTGTGTCCAACTTACACTCATCGTGATCTTTGGCGGTGACAGTGAGCACCGTGTGCTGGATATCCTCATTTTCGTCTACTTCAGCCTCGTAGAGGCCTTTGTCGAAGTAAGGCGGATTGTCGTTCTTGTCAGCTATTCCAATACGGATGAATTTCGTCACTGGAACAGACAAAAGGAGAGAACGTTAAGACTTCGTTCCATCTCGCGACGATATGAAAGCCAACGAATATGACGCTGCAGGCAATCTCTCTGAAAGATTCAAAGCTCCTGCCTCCCGTCACGGCGTCCCTCGAAAATGCAAATTCGTTTTCATTCCCGTGTTTTTCTAAGTTCCCACGATACCGATCGCGAAAGACTGGAGCACGACAGCGGATGAGGAACTGGCGAACAGCCTTTTACTCCATCGAGCGGAAAGTTCATTCTATTCGGAGAGAATCACGCGGAATGGCATGACATGTACCGGTTTGAAAATTCCCGAGGAATCTCCATGCATATTGCGTGCACACCCATTGCGAGCTTTTTTCCCCCGACTAAACCTCCATTTTTTGTTCTTCCTATCAGTTCCTTTTCCTTTTTTCCTCTTTTCCTTTTCGACTGCTTTTTAGCTTAAATTACACAGGAGAGGCAATATCGGTTAAATATTCACGTTGAAAAGTATAGTCACGCTTTCGAGAGTATGTTGCACAGTAAGAAAGTACGTAGGCAGAACGTATTTCGCTGCTTGTTATGTTACCTGGAGATCTGCATATGATACTTATATATATTTAAATTCTACCTTGAATTTTCTTTCCCTTTTTTTTGGCTCATTTGAATATCATACCTGGCGTAGAGAGCCTGTTTCGTTTGTGTAATGTAATTTTGGTGATCTACAATGTTTATGACAGAGCTATCTTGATGTTTTCATTTCGAAATAATTTCATTCGACTAAAAATTTTAATGTATTGGATATTGATACTAGAATTATGAATTTGAAGTGTACATTAATGTAGGAATTTTCCTTTGGCTGGCTTTTTCTGATTGATTAACTCTATCTCGTAAGACTATCTCGAACACCGACGGACTTTCCACAAGTCTTAACTCTCAATCTGACTCTTAACTCGTCCATTAGACTCTTAACTTGACGACTAACTGACCCTGCTATCTTCCAGGATGGACCCTTTTAAGGTCCGTCCAGGGGACACACGCCTTCCCGAAGGAGGAGAAACTCAGCTCTATGCCAAGATCAAGGGTGGAGAAGACTCCTCCCTCCGAGTTAGCTCCTCCGAAGGGTCACCCTCGCGGGGACCACGGCCGCTGTACCCTCGGCTTATACACTTATGTACCCTCCTCAGCCGTCACCCTCGGTTTATGCCGAATTTACGTGAGGCCCCCTCACGTGGCCTGGCCCCCGATCTCTTACGGCCCATCCTGGTAACCAGATCCTAACAGGTCCTCCAGACCTGAGTTCCAGACAGGGACACTGTATCCTAATAAATGAGTGCCCCTCATTTACCATTCCTACATTAATAATAAAAGTAATAAAAATAGGTAAATCAAGCAATTTCTTGTTTCATCTTTCCAATGTCTGACATGGTTAGAAGCAAAGCATAAAAGGTATACATCGGTTTGAAATCTCGTACTCTTCGATTTTAGCTCAGGTAGGAACGAAGATCGCGTAGCGATCCCGACTTGGTCCCAGAACTTGATATTTCACGGTTAATTTATACAGATAATTTAATGGAAAATTCATGTTCGGTAATTTATTAGCTTCCGTTACGGGTCGGAGATTTGAGAAACCGGGTATCGATCTCCGCAATAAAATGGGTAAAGGAAGATAGAAGTTCATTACGAAAGCAGCGACGGCTACTGATTTATCATGAAATCGCAGGCTGCGGTCAGTAGAGTTTCTTTCTTGCTCGTTTTGCGTTTCTAAGTTAAGAGCGAAGACGGAAATCCTGCATTAAAGAGCCGCGACGATGTAGAAAAATCTAAGAAAATGCCCGAACATTTAACCCTCTTATAACATAATAGAAATAGCGACAGTTCTCTTAAAATGCGATATTCTTATAACACGTATTCCATTCATAAATATGGGTTAATAAATTTGAGTTAAACAATTTTCATACAACACGAGTGTTTCCATAACACTGTCTTCCGTTTTGTACTAATTACGAATATATGAAACGAACCAAATATTGGAAAATAATATTTAAGTTAAAAATCATAAAAGCAATATTTCCATTAGAGTAACCCTTTGTTTATTTTTTAACGAGTTATAAACCAAATTTGTAGAATTCCTCCGAGTTCAATAAGCTTTTTATAATTTAATAATAATTTCAATTTTATATATCTCCGGATTCAATATTAAATTAAAGAGAAATTTTTCTCTTTCACGATTACTCTATTCTCAACCCTCTGGAGATTTATTTCGCGTAAACCAACGTTCATCCTCGAAACGAGCATCGACTTCACCTATCCACATATTTTTCCAATACTTGGACCTTCGGGGACAAACGAATATTCCCCAAACTATTATCGAATTATCAAAGTTCCAAACAAATCGTCATACTGTCACAGAAACCCAAACTTTCCCCGATGAATTTTACCAAATAGCCTCAAAGTGCCTCATTAAAAATCCTTACACCCTATGCAAATTCACCATCGGCCATTGCGAACTGCCTCAAAATGCATTGGCTCGGAGCTTCGTTGGAAACAACGACCTCGTAGGGAGAAAAGCAGAAAGAAAGGAAGAAAAAAGGAAAATGATGGAAGGAAAATGAGAGAACACGGACCATTTCGCGAGGCAGGTGCTTTCACGAAAATTATCGTCGCGAGTGTCTAATTTTTCTGATCGAGAGGACAAACGCGAGGGTTGAAGGGAGAGAAGAACCACCTTCAAAACGAGACTCTGCACACTCGAGCGAGCGTTCTCGCGTTGATTTCCAGCCAGCTGGAATTCACGCGTGGTTGGCTAGGCCATCGTGGAAACGACGTATCCGAAATATCTACGCGCCACTAATAGGCGGATTATTAAGATGAATTCCCGCGTCAATTTGCCGAAACCCGGGACGCGGTATCGCTTCGGGCAATCCGCCACCGCGTATCTTGGGGAGTTAAACTTGCCTCGATTCTCTTTGTTCGACAAATACCAGCCTGGTTAAGTTAATTCGCGCACAACGCCATGCTGTGCAGCCGAAATATCGTGAGTAGCGAACCATTCGGAATTCAGCACGGATTCGGTGCGTTCGAGTGGCAGGGACGTTGAAAAATTCTTATCGAAAAATACCGAAGCGATGAGAATAGCTTGGTTTTGTTCGTGATGAAAAATAATAAGTGACAGGGGCTGAGAATATCGTGATTGCGTTTCCCCTATTTTTCTTTTTTTTTTAAGTTATACTGAAAAATATTTGAGGATGCGATCTTTGAATTATCGCGATTCCGTTTATTTTGATTTATGATGGAACATGCTAAGTGATGCGATTCCTTAACATCATAATTGCATCTTTTTTTTTCTAATATATGGTAAAAAATATGAAGTGATACGCTTTCTAAATATCGCAATTGCGTTTGCTATGACTCGCGTTAAAAAATTACATACGGTGCGATTTCTCAATATCGTGATCGCGCTTACGACACTTTCTACTAAAAGGATGCCAAATGACGTGATCATGTTTCACTACCCTTGGACACCAGTAAGTCTAACGATTTATTATGATAAAATCCGAACGCACCGTTAATAGCACCACCACCGCCGCAAACGCAATAACGTTTTCGGACGCAAAATCCAATCAACACTATCGCCCTACTCAAAACTCAAACAATTAATCATATACCCAATCACGAGCTACGATCGATCGCGTAGAGGATTTTGGAAGCTTATCACATCTAACAGGACGAACGGGATTAAACGTGGACGAGGGTAAACGCTTTAGGATATTGCTGATAAAAGAAGAGTGACAAGGGTTGGAATTTCTTTGAGAAATCGGTGTCTTTGTCTCTTCGAGTAATTCGCGTGATTCTTCGTCCGTGGAATTCGAGGAATCGGGGGTGTACAGGCCCGGAAGCGAAGATTACGATTGATCTGTTGGTTTTAGGGACTCGCACGTTGGAGATTCTCGAAGAATCGTCTGCCAGCGAGTTGGTCAAAGGCACAAGGGAAAGAAATTTGAAATTAGAAGACGTATTAGGGACCTTTGAACGCATTTTGAAATTAAAAGTCCGAGTAAAGCCACTCTTCTCGTGTACCTTTATCTCGTTGCCGAGGGTAAATGTCCTTTTATGAGAGGACGGTTTAAAGTGACCAATGTGAAAATAATTCGCCAGTGATCTTCCTTTTATCGTGGAAAAGTCAACGGTATGGCTCGTTTTATATAAAAAAGCGATGAGGCTGAGGAGCTTCCACTTTATCCGCGTAATTTTCTCTCACTGGCCGAACAAGTATCCCCGTTATCTCAAAAGAATGAATCCAATGAAATTCCATCAAACGATGAAGAATTCTTTACCTTTTTGAAAGAGATACTTTTTATGCTGCTACCTTTCATATTTCGCTACCCCGCTTCCTTCGAGCGGATAAATATTTGTTGAAATTAATCTTGGGCAAGATTAAATCTTGGGAAACGCTTCAGCTTCGTTGAGGGATCGCACGCGTTGTGTCGTAAATTATAGTTCAGTTTCAACTCTTTCTTCGTGTTTGTCAGTCTCCGAGTAAGTTAATATTCAAACAGGACTGGTATGGTCATAGCGATTAAAGATTTTTTGGTGTCGAATACATGGCCGACGAGATTTTGGAATGTAGGCCGAAAATCGAAGCTCGAAATTGGTTTCATTAAGACAACAAAATGGAATTAAAAAGAAAAAATATAGAAAATAAATTTTAAATATGCATATTAAAAATTTGATGCAAAATTTAAGTATTTAAAAAATTGTGTGCAGGAAAATATTCATTTTCTAACTCCTTAAATCTTTCGTAAGGATTCCTTTGTATCCATACAAATTGACATAGAGGGAATTAATTTGTGACAAAAATTCGAAACATGCTATCTAGAAGCAGATGTTCTTTGTGTTTCTAAAAGAAATTATATAAGAAGAGAATAGAGTGGAAAATTTTTAACCATGATTTTCTCAATTTTTCCAAAAAATTCCCAATTTCCTTTCGAAAATTTCTCAGCTGTTTGTACCTA